CTGTACTCTAGCTCTGTATGCATAAATAATAAAATAAAAATAAATCTTTAAAAAAATGACATTTGATTTCCATACCAGGAACATCTTCACTAATCCTCAAGCTTTGGCGTTCGATGCTTAAAAAATTTAGCTTCCCAGATCTTTGGGTGTCAGGGAACCAGCACCCCTTGATCCCCAGGTTGCTTCCTGGGGAATCTAATGTTAAGTGTTCAGGAAACATTGGCCTAAGAGGTCAGATCAGCAGCATTTGCTCTTTGGTTCATTGTGGGCATACTTTAATTTGTAACATATTTAGTTTCCCATCCCTTTCAAGCACTGGGTCAAGGCTCCAGCAGTGGCAGTTCACTTTATTAGTCAATCTCTCCATCCTTTACAATTATCATTTTAAAATTCTTCTACTCATATTCTGGAATCTGTTCTTTAACCTGTCCTTTTTCTAGAGTTTAAGTAATACATTAGAGCTTAACAGGCTTTTCTCTTGGCTTTCTGCTATACCCTCTGCTGTAAATCAGAACCCTCAGTCTCAAGCATCTCAGCCATCAGCTTTTTATCAATGTATACTTTGTCTCCAAATTTACTTTGTCTGACAGGACAGAAGGCAAATCATCATTAATGGTAATTTAAAAACCCACCAATGGTAAATAATATCATTATTTCATAATCCAAGATTAATATAACACATTCAAATTTATGTACTGCACAGTCAAGAACTTGTAATTTTGCAAAACTCTTCATTCAGTGTTTATGATACTCTGATTTCATGTATATCAGAAAGATAACTGACTTCAGTTTTAGTAAATCCAAAATCTATTCCTGGGGAGAAAGGTCATGACTCTGAGTGAAGACCAGGGTATGATGGCTTGTCCTCAGACATCCTTCATCCACAGACAGCTTAACAGTCACAAGTGGGCCCACCCACCCAGCAGAGACTGGGAGACAGCAGAGACTCCCACAAGCGATGTCTCCACAGTCACTTAGGAGCATGACATAGGAAACTGAGCAAGTGTTCAATCATGAAACACAATGAACATTTACTCAGTGCCTAGGGGTGCTTGTCTCTTAGCCAAAAACCTGGGAGCTGATCTGACAACTCTCCTGGAGTCTGATTACTGGGGAGTAGGCTGACCTTGTTCTTCCTTCTCTGTAGGTTAGTCTGGTCAGCCATGTGAGCTATACCATCAGCTTCCCAGGAGTTGTGACTAAGTCATTTTTATTTTGGGTTCTTGCCTATTGTGACAGTGCAGGGAAAAAAAAAAAAAAAAGCTACCCTTTTGACCATTTCTAGTCCCAAATTTCTAAACTTAAGGATGTTTACAAGAAATTCTCTTGGAAGGGCACTTTCTTGGGCACTGAAGATGTTTATGATATAATGTGATGAGAGAGATAAACTGTAGGACTTTGATAAATCAAAAATTATTTTGGGCCAGAATTTTGGCAATATTCCAGCATTTGTCTAAAGGTCTGACTGGGATATTTTGGGGAACACTTTTACCTTTCTGGTCACCTATGTTAGAGTCATTTATCTTCAGTAAAACAGAATAAAAATTTCAAACCATTATCCTTGCTTATAGGAAGGATAATGTATCATGGAGTGTTATTTGTATGTATCTATATGTGTCATGAGTTGTGTTGTAAAATATATTTTGTTGTTGGGATTAGGTTGAAAAGTTTAAGAAATACTGATTTAGTAGTACTTGGCTTAGCTCTAAAGAGATCAAGAGCATGATCTGGGAAAAAATTGTTGACTTGAATCTTGGCCCCATCACTTGCCAGCTGTGCGTTTGGACAAGTTACTTCATTTCTTTGTGCCATAGTTCTCACACATCTTAAATACATAATTAAAATTGTAGTAGTCACTACCTCATACAATTGATATGAAAATTTAGAAAATTTACATTTGTGAAAATGTACTTAAACCTTGCCTGGTACATGGTAAGTGCCTTATTGTGTTTGGTGGGTCAGGCAGACAAGTGTCCTCTTATAACAGTTTTAATGAAATATCACTTTAGAGAAAATTTGTAATGATTAAGGTAATGTTGGTTTATAACATTGTATGTGACTCAGAGGCATTGGTTCACACCTCCTCAGATGCAAGTCACCTCACCACACCCACCACCAAGGTACCTCGCCTTCTTAATCAGCCAGGCCTCCTCCTGTTGAGCCTCCCCCTCCCATCCTGTCTTCTGGTCGACCAGTTCTCCAGTCAGCTTCCCTGGCGTGATGAGTAGTTTTCCAGTTTGGTTTTGGTCAGGTTTTACCCAACCCTTTGTTTTGTTTCTCTGTAGGCTACATGTAAATGACACCACTTGATATTTGCTTTTTTCCTTCTGAACTTTTGTTTAGCTATATTCCCTTCAGCTCTATCCACATATAACAAAGTCCTTTTATAAACAAATATCCTTTTATATACAAAGTCTCTGCTCAATGGATATCTGTCATTTAGTATATACTATGGACTTGAAAAGTTATCTGTTCTGAGCAGTATTAAACTAAAAGCTTAAGAAAGAGGGCCTTGGAGACAGACTGCAGGACTCAAGCTGCTTCTCTGCTAGTGGCTTGCTGTTACCTTTGGCAAGCTATATGACCTTGAGGACCCTCAGTTTCTTAATCTACAAAGTGGGATAAATAGAATCTGTCTCAGAAGGTGATTGTCAGGATTTAATGAGACCATTTATAGATGATGCTTAGGGCTCAAAGAATAACCCATTATTCCTTAGTGTAACATTCTGTAATGTTAGTGATTCAGATCATGCCGATGCTGCTTCTACTCAATGTGAATGGCTTGCTTAAGTCCTGTATCCTTTTGGCTGTCGCGAATCAGCCACATAGGGGTTCAGATAAAGACCAATATTCCTGAGTAAAAAAGCAATTGTGAGGCCCAGGGCTGGATTCATACCGTCCTACTGTGCTTTCTCTTCAGCTGTGCTCTCACAACTTAGCCCTAGTCACCAGAATTGTCCTTTTGCCTCAGCAGGTCACATCCCTGTAGATAATTCTGAAGTGTCACAATGCGAGCCTGACAGCTGGAGTCCATTTTGCAGTATGGCTGCCTGTGGCATTAAGGTCATGTCATATTTCCTTCCCTTTCATGTTGGGGGAGGAAATGGGTTAGGACAAAGCTTGCTGTCCAATGTGATGAAGCATTTTGTATGATGTATGACTTGTAAATACATACATTTTGTATGATGTATGACTTGTAAATACTTGTAATAGGGCTCATTAGCTGAAGGGGCTTTTAACTAGTCCTTCAGTTCTTAAGGATCTTTGTCAAAATATTCTGACAGAGAAACCTAAGATTTTTGAGGACTCCTGAGCTTGAGGAGCTGCTGTTTTTCTGTATTTCTCCCCATGTTTCTCATGGCACATTGTTTCCTGGCACTACTGTAGTTTAAAAAATTATAATATGCATTATCAATCTTTTGTCTGACCATATGATCCTCAAGGGCCCACCTTCATCTCTGTATCCTCTGCAAACACCTAGCCCACATCTCAATCAACATCTGTGGAGTTGAATCTGGTTGAATCTATAACTCAGTGCCAGAGCTCAGAATAGGACTGGAATTGAAGTAGAGTAAGAAATCACTTATTTCCCACTGCTGACTTGAATGTTGGTTTCTTAGAAATTCAAGTCACCTCCTCACCTTGAAAGCTGCCACGAACAGCCTTTAGGGAGGACCTTACATTGATCCTATTGGTTCCTCTGTTCTTTTAGAAGTAAAGAATAATGAAGCACACGGTTCTATATCTTGCTGGTTTACAATCCAGTGGAGGAGGAAGTATCCCCTGCAAACCACCTGGGATGTAAATATGTAAACTCCTTTCTACCTCTGTTTAGCTGAAATGGAAAGACAGCCAATGGTTAGAGTCACAGGCCTCTTCTAACTCAGTTTTGTCTATGATGTGGCGCACAGCTGGGCACATTCTGGATCTTAGTTAAATCGAGGGGCATGCTTTATTGTTGCTCTGCTTTACAAAAACTACAAGACTTTGACTTAACTTTTCAGTTTACAAATAGAAGTAAAATCAGAAAAATAGTCTTTAGGAAACCCTCCACGTGTCTAAGTGAAGCAATCTGCTGAAGGTTTATATATCTTTGCCCTCTTTCTGCCCATACTGGCACAAGAGAGGTGCTCATGTCTCCATTTCCAGTTGAAAAACCGGACAATTCGGGATTGCAATTCATTTGGATCTAGTAGCTATAGCACGAAGTTACAGCGTTTTCTTCTAGCACGCTAGTGTGTGTGTGTGTGTGTGTGTGTGTGTGTGTGTGTGTGTGCGCGCGCGCGCGGACTGTTTGTATTTTCTTTTACCTTTAAAGCTCTGCTTCTCCTCTGGCCACTTTCCTCGATTCCACTTTTCCGAAACAAAAGTCCAGCTCTTGTCCTAGGTTTCACGGCCCCTTTGGCCATCTGTCCCCGCGTTGCAGGGTGGTCAGTCACTCTTCCTTTAGGTTCAGAATCCCAGTCGGGGACTAAGTTGGCGAGGATTCCAGCCTCCACTCCACACTCCAGGGAACCAGAATCTCGCCCGGGTCCCCTAGTAACCCACCCTCCGCCCCGCCTTCCCTACCTGACGCTAGAGCGGCCAGGGGTGCCGCAGCCTCCGCCCACCGGCGCGCCTGCCCTGCCATTGGCTCCCCCGGCTGCCCGTCTCCTCTGCCGGCCGCGATCCGTCCCGGAGGCAGATTTTGCCGGAGAAGCCGCAGTCCCGGCGGCTCGGGCGCAGCGCGGGAGCCCTGTGGAGCTCGAGCACGAAAGAGAGCTGGCATGTCCTCGCGCGTGGGACCTCCCGTCAGCTGCAGAGCCTGGACTGCTGCTAACTTGGCGGCGGGCTCCGGCGACCGCGCCGCGCCCATGTAGTTGCCGGCGGGGCTCCCCGCAGCCCGGGAGCAGCCGCGAGAGCTAGCCATAACCGCGCAGCTCGAGGCTTCCCCCCGCTGGGGCTGAGTGCGCGCCTCGCCCGCGCGACCCCTCGGGGCGCACTTTGGGGCCAAGGGGGAAATGGGGGAGAAAGTTTCGGAGGTGCGGGAACCGCTTCCCCGAGGCTGCAGCGGCCACGGCGGCCGGACTCCTGCCTCTGCGGCGGCGGCAGCGTCCTCACCCGGCGTTTCCTCGGCCGAGTCTTCTTCGGGCTCAGAAACTCTGTCGGAGGAAGGGGAGCCCGGCAGCTTCTCCCGCGAAAAGCCGCCGCCGCCGGGCGGAGCCCTGGGCGCCGGGTCATCCGCCGCGTGGGCTCCGGTGCGCGTGGTGCTAGAGCTCGGAGTCCCCACGCCGCCGCTGCCGCTCCCTGGAGAAGCCGTTCCGCCCGCGCCTCCGGACAGCAGTGCGTCCCAGGAGGAGCAGGACGAGGAGGTGGGCCCCGCCTTCCCCCCCCACCCCCCACCACTCTACCCCCGGGGTCTGGCTGCCGGACCACCCAGCTCTCTAACCCGCTGGGGGGCGATGGGCAGAGCGCGCCAGGGTGCGGGAGGGACTCGAGGAGTCCAGCCTTGAGCCCGAGGTGATGGCACGAGTCCCCCTGTGGGGCACTGACTTCCCCATAACTGTTATGTGTGTGACTGCGCGCGCGCGCGCGCTTGTGCATGCATTGCCTGACAGTGTGTGCTTTTAAAATGTCAAGGCAACAAACTCCTGAATGCCTGCATCTGCTTCGGGTGATCTGTGCATGGCTATGATCTGGACACCTGTCTTGTTCCTACAACTAGGATTTTATTCTCAGAAGTGGGCGTTGCTTCCCACCAAGGCGCTTTGGCGGAGGGGACTGTAGTGAATGGAAAAGTGTGTGTTACACATGGGGGAACCGCAGGAGTCTTACACCTTTGAGTTATACTGCGCTATTCTCTTGTGATCGCTGGAGGGTGGTTTTGACTAGTCCTCGAAAAAGGCCCTCTGGTAGAGAGAGCATTCCTGGCTCTCTGCCAGCTGAGAGGCGCACCTGCGGCTCCCCTGGGTCTTGTTCCAGAGTGCGCAGATGCTTGCTTGTCACCAAACTGAATAGGGAGCGTCCTACTTTCTTCTGGCGACTTTGTCCATCTTGGTTTCCTGGAAGGCTCTAAGATCAAAACTTGTGGATTATGTCTGCAAGTTCAGTACCCCTTTGCTTGCTTTCTCTGGCCTTTTTCAGTCTTTAGAGCTCTGTTAAAGACATAGGTTCTTCATAAGATTGCTTTGGATCTGTCTTGTGGGGAAGTCATCACGATGAGGCAGGACCATAAATAAAAAACATCACCCTAACTTAGCTCCTTATGAAGTCTATTCCTCAGTACCGGAGTATTTTCCTCTTAGCCAATGGGGTTAGCTTTAGTAAGTAAAAGTCTTTGGCTTCAGAAAATGTAAGAGAGGCCAGTGATTTTACAGTGGTTCTCTGGGACACCAACCTGGAACTAAGGCTCCCACAGGTGAGAGAAGCCAAATCTTAACCTGTCAAGATGCAGCAAACCTTAGCTGGTTTTGGTGACCAAGTCTGTGCCAGTAATCACGGCCCAGTCCCCAATGAGCTGATATCCAGCTTTCTAGAAGGCAATATCCTGAGCCGTGGGACCTTGGTTCATCCCTTTCATACAGCTGAGGTTCAGTTCAATAATCTGTAGAATGAGGGGTTTGAACTAGTAAACTTTTTTTTTTTTAAGATAATAAGGTGAAATAGTAAACTTCTGGGTTAAGTCCATTTCCTCAGGAAGGCTCCCTTTTTCTGATCAAGAATGTAGGATGGATCCAACGTTCAGATTGATCCTAGCAACAGGATGGCAGGTATTAAGCTGGATGTCACACCTGCCACAGAGCAGCATGATCACCTCCTGTACTTAACCGGCATCCTTCACTTGTTCTATCTCTTTTTGAAGATGCCAGACATGGCCCAGGTATTCAGCTTGCCTCAGATTGCAGAGATAAGTACACTTGTCACCGGCCAGCTGGGGGCATTAATAGAGAATGTAGTTAGAGCTCGCTGCCCTTTGTTTTCTGTGTAGCTGGAATGGTACTTCGTGGTAAATGAGAAGGTTTTGAAGATCTGAGATGGGGGGAGCTGGGAACTTCTCACTTTTCATCCTGATTCTGTAGGTGATTTATTGCCTGGCCTCAGGGTGACAGTGTTTTACTTTCTCGGAAGTGGATATAATGATAGCTTATTTCACAGCCAATGTGATGAGGCTTGGTTGATTGAAGCACATTTTGGAAAGTGGATTGGCTAAATAACTTTGGTCAGTATTTGTGAAATCTTAGAATTGGATCTAAACAGATACAGTATTACAATTTATTGTGAAACTTAACCTATGGCAGGGGATGCTAAAGTTGTCCAGGAATGGAAGTGACTTGCTCAGAGATTTTTGCAGCAAAACTAAAACCTTGGAACCTTGGAGGTTTTGCCCTCCCCACAAGGAATTGAGAAATGATAGTTCTGGTGAAGGGATTGGGGTCCAGTACCCATTTTCTAGTTCTTATACTGATGATGGTGTGCTACATTGGCTCTTAACTTTCTCGTGTGTGTGTGTGTGTGTGTGTGTGTGTGTAGGGGTTATGTTATGTGGGCCTCTTTAATTGTAACTAGTGTCGCCCCCATCCTATCAGAAAACACAGCAACTATAAGTAACTTTCCAAAAGGCTCATTCTGGAACTCAGGATTATAACCTCAGTTTTGTGAAAGGGTTAATTTTTGATTCCTTAACTAAGATTGCCACCTTAACTAGATGTGGGATTGTGGGCTCTTCATCTAATGTAGCCCCCAGTTTTCACCCCTTAAATTGGAATAATAGTAAATGAAAATACAAGCTTGGTCTGGCTTGTCATTCATTTATTCATAATTAATCTACTGCCTACTGTCAGAGAACCTGAGGCTGTATCTGTTTAATTTAGTTCCCAATTTATTAGTATATGCTGGGAAACAGTTTTTATTGTATCTGGTTGGATTATTCAACTACTGTTAGAGTAGTTTTAGTTATATTGTAGTAGGACACTGAATATAAAGCCTTAAAATGCTCAAGTACAGCCCATAAAATGGAGAGATTCATTTAGATTTTGAGATTGTCGTGTTTAGCTTGGGAGAGTCACTTTCCAAAGTTTTTTTTTTTTTAAATAGTAACTTGGTGCAACAAATTTAAAAAACAGCAAAATTCAGTTTATAGTATGTTGTTATTGTTATATTTTTGGGCAACCTTGTTAAAATTGTTTTGAACATATCTAGTAGTGTCAATAGTGTTCAGCCTATTTATGTTTTACTTTACTTACTGTTGATACCCATCTTAAAACTTATAAAATCTTATAGATGTAAGTCTTCCCTTTAATCTTATGCTGTTTTAAAAACAACACTTTAACATTACTGTGATTTTAGTTTTTGTGCACTGTCCAACATGGGACTCAGAGATGATGCCTGGTTTTATGTTTAAGTAAACTGTATCTGACTTTATTGTTCCTTCCCCAAGTCTGTGGATTTGTGGGTCTGTCATGTTGAAGTCTGTCTTTCTATAGTTTCGGTGATCAAGATTGTTGGGGTCTGTTTTCAGACATTTCTGAGATTTGCCTTGAACCCCTTCTGCTCTTTCCCTTCCAAAGCACCTTGTGTAAGAAAGTACTGGGTAGTATTTGCTGTGTGGTCTCAACTCCTTGAGAGCAGGGCTTTTGTCTTTGTCTGCCTAGCACAGTGCCTCTGTGTCTCAGTGGGGGATTAGTAGATATATATGGCATGAATGAGGGGGCAGAAAAATCATATCCCTGAAAATAGGGATTGATTGAAGGGTGACTATGTGATTATATTTGTTTTGTCTGTTGTGAATCATGATGTTCAAGCCTCTGGATCGCTTATTTTGGAAACATGGACTGCAGTGAAAATGTTACTACAATTTTCCAGGTAAATTTTGAACAAAGTCATATCACTAATAATCCACTTAGGGTATCTTCAAAGAAACTTGTGTATTAACTCTGCTTTTCACTGTGGCTATTAAAATGGAAACTTTCAGGGATTCTTAGAATGGCAGAAAAAAGGCTTAGTAGCTAAAAGGATTTTCAACTCAATATAAAGTAGCTCATTTATATGTTCTATACTAAAATAATTTGTTTTATTGGCATAAGTTGGCAAACATTTTCTCTTATTAACAATAGGTGTAACTATGGGAGGTCGCTTAACTGTTCTATTAAATGGTGTGTGAGTTTGAGGACTGCTTTTAATATCATTTTCGGTGGGTATGTTGGGGGGGGTTGGTGAGGTGGCCCCACATGCTGATTTCCTTGGTTAAGAGAATAAATAGTAAAGCATAAGCTTTTCAGTTCAGTAAAGCTTTCAGTGAATTTGTATTTTATTAATCACAGCAGCTACATAATTTGAAATGAAAAGTAGTGCATAAATCTTGGCACGTTATTATTTATTTAGTCTGCTTTTGACTCACTTCTTTAATACGAGCCACAAGGCCAGAAAATCAGTCAAATAATACATGCTGAGCCTGACTCTGTGAGTCTTGTCCTGAGCACTGAGGACATGAAGGTGGGCAATACAGAGCTAGTTTTGCCTTTACCAAACTTCTAGTTAGTGGGGAAGGTAGTCACTAAATACATGATTATTAAGTAGTTAGTTTCAAAGATATTGAATGGGTATGGGGGTGGGCTGTGTGTGACCCTGTTGAGTAACTCATCTAGTCCTGAAGAAACAGTGTCTTACTCAGAAGTGATGTTTGCCCTGAGGCCTACTGGAGGAGCAGGAGCTAGTTGGAGAAGGGGGTGGGTAAGAGTGATGACACAGATAGCAAGTGGCCCAAAACAGGAGAGAACATGGTGGGGATGGTGGGTTTGTGGCTCTGAAGGAATCTGGTTGCATGGTGTGGAGGAGGGAAGAGCTTGGCCTCACTGGCTGATAGAGAAGGAACAGGTGGGTCCTGGAGAACCTCTGGACTTTATTTGGAGGGCCACTGAAGGACTTGAATCAAAGAAGTGACATGATCAGATTTGTATTTTGGAAGACTGGATACCATGAAATCTTCTGCGGGGCATTTTCATTAGAGCCTGTTGAAATGCTCCAGGTGTGGACCTGATGGCCTTAGAAGATGGACTCAGTAATGGTGAGTGAATGTGACAGGGGTTCATCCTGGTTTTTCAGATAAACACATTGAGATACAACAGGAAAAGAATTTAGGTATTTATTCAAGAGACTATCTTAGTGGGAATATTAATGCTATTTTTCTACCATGCTACTGCCTGAAGCCTGGTATTATCTTAAATGGAAAACTTTACTAATGTGAGTAGAGACTGAGAAGAGGGCCATGCAAATGCTTATTTCCATAGTGAAAAGCAAAGTTGCAGGAAAATCTTTACCTGAGGTGAGTGCTGGGGGAAATTGCTCTGGGATCTAGTGAGGGTCCATGGTGACA